ATCTTAACTCGTTATCGTTTTTACAATGATGGTTTTATCGTAAAACCGCAACCGAGAGCGAGTACGATAAAAAAGAAAAATTACAATATTACGGGCGGATTTCTCTCTTCCTCGAGACGTTTGTATTCACGAGGAACTTTCTAAATATATTCTTTAGATTAAAGAAAAAGTCTTAAGTGGAGCATTGAAAATTGTAGACATGGTTAGGTTACATCAAATCTTGTAACAATTTCGACATGTTAAGTCGAATTAATTTGTGAATTTTTGGGTCTATGGAATTCTTACACCTTTGGAAGTGTAGATTGTTGAACTATTAGATATTCGCGCCATCCTAGGATTCATGTAGATCCTCGAATTTTTAGACCCGAGAATTCTTCAATTTTTAGAATTCCTTCAGTTGTCTTCAAACTTCTTTTTGCAATCAGACCAAATTACATGTTAATCTCGTGTCGAGGAATATTATTTAAGTAAAGTAATTTTTGTCAAATCGATGATTGACGTACGATCTCGAGGAACACTGGAAAATTCGTGAACACCGACTTGGCTATTCAGAGACAACGACACAACGCATTATAAAGTATAATGATAACTTAACGTTAATCGATTACTATTACGATCGCTCACATCGCGAGAAGTGATGACGATGATGATCATTGCGTATAGGCTGTCCTCGAATTGTCGTGTTTTCTTAAACGTTCATTTCTGAAAGAACAAGCGAGAATAATAATAGATATATCTCGAATTTGATATATCGTATGATTTACAAATGATCTATTCGATTATGTTACGTATTTATTCCCACATTGTTTGTAATTTAAAAACTATTTCTTCAACATTTAAACGAGTATCGTTGTCTTTAACTTTTCCGAGCATCTACGAAAAGAGAAAGAAACGCGATAGTTCAAGGATATCCGTGGCTAGAGAAGTTAGGCGTTAAGCAAGATACATTATTAAGGATGAAGTTAACAAACCATATGTGGTTAAGTAGGTAGACTTTAGCTTTATACACAAGAGAATGTTGAGGGAATATTCATGGAAATGAGAGGGAGAGAGAGAAAGAGAGGAAGAGTGTGGAAGAGAGAGAGAAGAGAGAGAGAGAGAGAGAGAGAAAGCGAGCGAGAGAGCTTTATCGAACTGTGAATGAATTACGAAAGGAAAAGCATTAAGAAAAACTCCGCATTTTCGACTGCCATTCGAGTTAGGGCCATAGGAATGATTCGTTGTACCAACATGTCCGAGCGAACTTGTGCGATATTTGTGGGAACGAGTTACCGTTACTATTGCTATCGCAAAAATTATGTACAAGGCGTTCAAAATCGATCACTTTTTTTTAATTGGAGTATTTTTCAGTTAATTTTGAATCGAATATTAAAAATTTAATAGAAAGCTTTTGTTCCTAATATTGTTGATGTTATCAACTAAAAATTCTACAAATCTACTATAACTTCTATTACCTAATGATAGATAGCTTCAAATTTAGTCTAGCCTCCATTAATTTCGTTTATTAAAATAAATTATTAGTTTTTTTATATCTCTGAAAAGAATCTGTTATAAAGTCCGTACGTAGAACAAAGTATTCGATCGTTTTGAAATCCTTGTATTGTTTAATTATTTTTTTAGACTTATTGTTATTGTATTAACAATCACATTCATTAACGTTATTGTTTTTTGTATGATTATTATATTACATTGATACATATGAGATTATTATAAGAATTTCGCAAGTAAGTAATATTGTATAAATATTTGAATTTTCTATGTTAATTCAAATATTTGAAGATTATGTAAATCATTGAAATCTAATGTTGGATGAGTATTATTGTATGTTTTGTCTTGTATTAATCTATTGGAGCGTTGAATTATGGAAGAAATTGTCATATTTATAGAATAAAGAAAATTGGAAAAAATTTACTTAACAAGTAACTTTAATTAAGAAAGAAGGATATTAAAAGTAATGAAGAAAGATTCACGAGGAAATTTTGATTTCTCAGTAATTTTTCTTATTTGAATTTTCAAAAAGATATTGAGCTCCCTTTTTCTTAGAGATTATAAAATTACAAAGTAATTTTATAACGATCCAATAGATTAAGTTTATATAAAAATCTTTCGATGATTTAAGTAGATCTTTTCATCTTATTTTACATTAATATTGTCGTGTTATATTTGTTCTTGACGATAGCGTACGTTCGATATTGTTGCGGACCAGACTCTTCGTGATTTCGTTAAACCAGAAGCAATACTATTGATGCCTACAATTACTATTATCGAACGAGTGTTTAAGTAAATTACAATCACCTAATCCTGGAATCTTAATACAAAACATATTAATCAATTTTGTTTCACGATTGAACAGTTTATTATGAACATCATTTTAATATTATAATTTATATATAATAAATATTTTAACATAAGTATATTTTAATATATATATATATATATATATATATATATATATATATACGTAA